GTTTTCACAACTGCAGTCATTAAGCAGTCCTATTCAGGCTGCTGCAGCCAGGCTCCAGTCAGTCTGGACAGAACCCCCCAGCCCACCTCAGCCCAAACCGTCTGCCTGTCCTCCACAGTCACATCCACGCCGTAAAGACAGGAATGTCCACTCAGGACGGGGGAGGAACTCCTCCTGATTCTCCCACTTCTTCTGTAAAAGAAGGGATTAAATCCCATTTAAACATCAACTGACTTCAAGTAAAATGGTTTCAGACAAAAGGGAAAATATTAAAAATGATGTTACTAACAGTGATGATCCTGTCAGTCAGGTTGGGTTCAACAAAAAAATTATAATAATAAAATAAAACCAAAGTCCCAGAGTTTCTTTTCTCCCAGAGTTACAGATGAACATTATCTGATGATGAGAAATAACAGTTTTAGTTAAACCATGAAAATAATTTGATGAATATGAGCATCTGATTAGTTTGTTCAGTGTTTCATGACATATTTTACTAACAGACAGACAAAAAGCAGCAAGAGATAAAAAAAAAAGTTCAAAATCTAAGAAAAGTTGGTGAATTTGTGGTGGAATAATAAAAACCTAAAGATGACATGCTTTCTGTTGAAAATTGAGTTGTTTAACCTGATTTTAAAGCCAATTGTTGATTATAATCCTTGTTTCTGTCAGTGCTGCTGTTAGTCACACCCGGTTCATCAGGATAAACACCACTTCCTGCATATCAATGGCAGCTTTAACACAGAGACCACAGCTAATGCCAGGATGATCCTCAGATTAAAGGAATAAACTGATCCATCCTGGTGTCATTTACCATCACAAAGAGCTGATGATCAGAGAGATGAAGGATTATAATCCCAATACAATCATCCATCCTACTTTCAGCTACAATCCAATCATTTACATAAATGATGATGGATTTAAATTGAAACTACAAAAATACTAAATATATTGTTGAAAATACACAAGTATTATTAACAATCAAGCACAAAGTGCAGTAAAACTACTCTTTTTTTACTTTTTCATTTACCAGAATATTGTTTTTATATCCTAAAGGCAGATTATTTATGTTTTTACTCACATGTTAGCAAAATATGTCATGAACTCCAAGGTGGATTTTGAAGAAAATATCAGAAAATAATCATTAGATGTTCATCTACCACTAATTAAGTTTTAGAGTCAGCACAATTCAAGATGGCCACCACAGCAAACACAACTCAGTCACTTTTACAGAACTAGAGCTTGGGGGTGGTACCTGAGACTGATCTCACATGTCCTGATGCATCTCGGTAATCCAGGTAGAAAAAATCAAAAAGAAAAAAATAAGTAGGTCCTCTGGATGAGACTTCCTCAGTCTGATGAGTTTCAGGTGGACTCAGCCTTATAAGCACTGCCTCCACATGGACAAACAGGTTAGTCACATGAAACTAGCGCCATCGCCTAACAATAGGCTTGATTAGCTCTGTTTAGTCACATGTAAATTTCAGGAAATATTCACTGACCTCCTGACCACATGCAGGCTCATCTACAACTGATAAATGAGTTCATCCAGTTAGCCACCATGTCAGCATTAGCCAACACAAACATGGCTGTAGCTCAGTCAGTTGTACAGATACTGAGCAGCAGCTGAGAGTGCTTCACAACACACAAGAGTGTGACATCATGTCTCATTTCATTTTCTTAACTTTATGTTTAAGGTTTGGTCATTTCTCACAATATAACTTGTCACTGTTTCCTCTTTGAAGAAGATGTTTTGACACTTTGTTGTCACCTCTGTCTTGCAGCCTTCCTGTCTTTAGCTCAGGCGGACGGACCAATCACACGTCTGCTTACAGGTAACATGTTTACACATCCAACCCCTCTGGTTCACCGCAGAGGCAGCCTTCATGAAGAAGCAGCTCTTATATGTATATTTTTATCATTCTTATTAATCAGACATGTCGGTTTGGGTTTCTGGCAGCTTTGTGGGGCCTAAAGAAATGTTAAAAAACATCAGCCTTCAGCCCATGAGCCACCTGTGCTCTGATCATGAGGAAAATCACATTTTATTAAATATTATTTTAAGGTTTGGTCAGCTGAAATGATGATTTTTAGTTATTCGCATTCTTCAAAGAAGTGGTTCTGTGATAAGATTAATGTCAGTGTTTTATTTAGAATCTATTATAGTTTAATTTATACTGTAGTCATCACATGTTGTGAGGTTTTGTTGTTCTTTGTGTCAGTTTTTAACTGGAATATAATGTGAATAGTTTTTTAAAGATGAAATTTACCTAAATTATAATATTGTAAGAAGTGTACTGTAGGGTTAACAGACACAGTATTAGTTATTTTCTGTAGAAAGGGTCACAACAGGAACATAAACCTTTTCTGTTATTTTTTTTAAAACTAAATGACTTTTAACGAAACAAATCAGACAGGAAGTGAATATTTAAAGTGATCACTGACATGAAAGAAGTTCTGGGTTTGAAACTTGGGTCTTTGGCTTTGTTCTGATTTCATCCTGAGGTCCAAAAACGTAGGTGTGTGTGTGTGTGTGTGTGTGTGTGTGTGTGTGTGTGTGTGTGTGTGTGTGTGTGTG